TTCAATAATAATATTTTCTTTCCTGTAAAATTTTATTTTTGCAAATAAAGGAAAATAAATCTATTTTCTTGCTTCATTTTATCTACACACAAGGATGAAAAATAACTATAGGACGAAAATTAATAATTCCTCGTTATTTTTCTCTAATATTTTCCTTTCTCTCCTTTCCAAATAAAGGGTGAAAGTTTAGGGTTAACAGAGATGACGAGTGTTTGATTATAAATAATAATAATTATAAATAATAATTAACGTTAAATATAAACGAGGCTAAGTGTACAGATTAAAAAATTGAATTACAAACTGAATTAATTTTATTTAATTTAGTTCGACTCAAGTTAGTAATTTGTTTTGCTTTGACTTTACATATTCAAACATTTATTCTTCAATCTTAAAATTCATAAAAATGTAATTGAAATAATTAAATTTCTTCAAATGCCATAATTAAATCTTAAAACTCATAAAAATGAAAAGAAAATCATCATTTAATAATAAATTATGGGAGAGAAAAAAAAGTGATTAAAAAAAGAAGAAATGTTGAAAAATTTCTCAAAGTGAGATAAAAGCAAATGCTAAAATATTAGTCTTCCTCTCTTAAAGAAAGTGCCATATCAACATATTCTAAAAACAAGAACTGAATTCAAAGCAAATTTGTCTTATTTGTTTAATTTCAGCATTATTTTGCATTTTCAACTTATGTATATTCAATTCATTAGTAATATATTGGAAACGCAAGCCAAGATTTTCATAACCGAGTAGAAAAAGAAATTAATTTCATAATATTGAGGGCTCATTTTATTGTTACGGCCTCATAAAATTTGTCTTAAAAAAGAGGAGTTAATTGCATTTCAAATAACATGCAACTGTCATACACAACACAGAAGATATGTAGATGAAAACAGAGCAACAACAAATCATGATATAGCTTTAAGGATTTCATATATATATTTTCTTAAAAAAAAGAGGAGTTAAATTGCATTTCAAATAGACATGCAACTGGTCATACACAACACAGAAGATATGTAGATGAAAACAGAGCAAGCACAACCAAATCATGATATAGCTTTAAGGAATTTCATATATATATATATATATTATATATATATATTATATATATTAAAAAAAAAAGTGAAAGAATATAAAGAAAGAGCAAATGGAGGGATATTAAATCTGCCAAACTCATGTAATATACAATCTCCAAGATAGCTATATATATTAAAAAAAAAGTGAAAGAATAATAAAAGAAGAGCAATGGAGGGATATTAAAATCTTGCCAAACTCATGTAATATACAATCTCCAGATAGCAGGGGTGACTTCAGCCCTGGAATGGATTTAGTAGAATCATATTACTAGTTTTTGGAAGAAGAAGAGAGGTGGTCAGAGAGAAAGAGAACGAACATGAAGGGAAAGGGAAGATATAGGATAATTGACAAAAGGGTATCATAGTATTTTCTTTAAATTTAAAGACAAAAAATGAAAATATTGAGGGAAAGACAATATAGATGAACATAATCAAGATATGGGACAAAATAATTTATTTTAAAAACCAACAAATAAAGTAGTTATATTTTAACATAACCCAAAAATAAACTCTTTTGACTTGCCTTCTCTTTTTATTTTTGAGGCCATGGTTTGGAAACCTTTAACATCACCTGAGTATGGCAATAAAGTATGTAGAACACCAGAAATTATAATAAATACTTATATTCTGTTATATATAGGTTAAAAGAGAAGGCAAGTTCTATTCTGTAGTTGAAAATAAAAAGGGTAATACAGGCACTTGTTGACATCTCTATTTTCACGTGAATAATTTCCTTTTGCACTAGGATAATCACTCCAATACACTATACATCTCTCTCTCTCTCTCTCTCTCTCTCTCTCAATAATAAGAAAACTTTATTTGAGCTAATGCATTTCATAGGGCACAGTTTCACCTATTATCACAAAATTTGCCACACAGCCATGCACTTCATGTCCTACACAAATTCACAGTTCAATTAAACAAAATTAATTCTCTAGTCCCAATTACCTGTTGGCATTGAATAGAATGAGTCAATCACATGCAGCAAATTACAGAGACTACAGCATGAAAATTTCACTTGATCAGAAAAGGGAAAGTTAGATACAAGTCATGCAATTTCAAGATTAGATGAGAGCAACTCAGAGTTGAACAGCAAATTCCACAAGAAAAATGAAAAAAAAAATCCGTAAGTATGCCAAATTATAGAAATTTCATAATAAAGCTTTCTAATTTAGCTCTTTGGTCAGTAGCTACATAGTAAACAATAAATGTCATTGTATCTTAAGCACATCAAACCAGTCACCTACTCTCAAGCTGATATTAATGTGAGAAAGTTTTAAAAGATTTTTAGGACTGCATGGAAATTCTCTTAAAGAGAATGAACCATAAAAAAGGGTGGTTGTTTGTTTCCATAATTTTTATCACAATATTTCCATGGGAAATAGTCTCTGTTCCCATGTTTGTGTGTCACAACCTAAAACATGTGGAAAAATTACGATCTTTACTAACTAGATGAAAGTAGCTTAAAAAAACCTGTTGCTTGCCGATTTAAGAAATGGGAAATACTGCCGGATAATTACAACAAACTCAAAAGTCATTAAATACCTCATAAATTCATGTCTTGGATCGATATATCTGCATAAGCAATCGCCAAATCCAGTAAAAGTTAATGATTACAATGAATTCTATTCTGGCTGCTGGAATTCAAGATCTAGTTTTCTCTTTAGATGTGATCTGTCAGCGCTGCATAAGGGTAATATAAGGATCACTAATATGAATAAAGCACTAAGGAGAGAGAGAGAGAAGAAATAATTAATCATGGAGAAAATGTATTAAAGAGCACCTATAAGATACTGACAGAAATTTTGATATTTTACATCTTTTATTGTAATTCTTCTGTGTTAAATTGTCTCCTATGTAAAATCGTCCTAATTAGAAACGTCGAATTTCAAATTTAACAAAAAACTTTTAGTTTCTTATCTAGGAGTACTAATCTTTATAGGTGTTAGCATTTGAGTTTCCATGACCTATATCATTTAGCTAATTTCATATGATTCTGAAAATAGATAATTTGGTGAAGGTATCCACATCTAGTGAAAACAATTACCATTCATAAGTATAAAAGGCCACCAAATTCCCCTACTATATTCAATCTAATCAGCCCCTAAAATTCACCTTATAACAAGGTCAGTAAATGTTTACTGTCCACCTCATTCATAACTATTAAACACTCTACAAAAACTATCTCAACCTTAAGTTTTTGAATTGGAGTCTCCTTTAATCATACCCAATTATTACAGTCACCATATAGCCATTATTTTTCCTTAACATCCATAAATTCAACCTCAGTTCAATTTAAGAACCCATAACCTTCTCAAATCTATACATCCAAACCCTGAAATTCATTATGATTTTCCTCAATAAAAGTGGTAGGAGGCCAATTACTCAATCTGTCCTCTTCATCCATTCTACCCTAACACAATGTTTAGAAATCATATGCGAATAAGAAAAGAATCCATAATATTTAATCCATTGCATACTAGAGAGAGTGAAAATGAGGGGATAAGCAACTAAATACATGATGTTTGAAAGGATAAAAAAGGAATTTAGGTATTAATGGTAAAATATCCTTATAGTTATTAAAATTATTAGTTAAGAATAACAGATAATCTCTTATTCAATCAATTTTGAAGGGAAATAAAAATGGGATTTGGAAGGATAACTAGTCCTCAGTATCCCTACCCGCGCTCGAGCGATAAAGTAATAAGAATCATATGCAAGAACCAAATACTTGCTTCCTCCTTACCTGCTCCCATGCCAATCAATAATATTTTTTCCCTCTAGTACCACTCGGTGCATAGATCTTAAACACGAATGATTTTTTATATCTAATATGCCCAAAATTTTTAACAGGAATTCTTCTTTACATGTTTTTTTTTTTTCAACAGCTGTACAGGCCAACTTGCCGCCAGCAAAAGCACACAAAGAAGAGCAAGCACTGTTTAAATTCTCCCTCTACATTAAAAATTATCTAACTTTCCTTTTTATGCAAATGATTCAAAAAACAAGTTCATCTCTTTTCCACATTATCCTTAAAACACAATTTAAATTACATGCTATAATGAGCTTTTTATTTGTAAATCTGCAGGAAAACTTGAGGGCAAAGTTGGAAACCCAGTTGTGGAAGTATGCATTTGCATTTTCCTTGAACATCATCATCAATAAAATTTGCAAAGGGAAAGCTGCAAGAGAATTTACAAATATTTTCAAAAAGGGAAAAACTTGAGACAGTTTCTTTTCCACAACCAAGGCAAGATATGAGGATTGAAGTGCAAGGGGTAAGCCCCATAAAGTTTTAATAAAAGACATTTTCCCAAACAATGAAGTGCTTTGGGGAAAATTTTTTTTGACAATTATATGAATATGATCTATCTTGTATTAAATGTGAATCAAATGGATTTGTAATCTGATTCATTTATTTTTAATATAATGGTTAAAGTATAATGACGATCTACATCCCACTCCATTTATTATCAATTAAAAGTATGATGTAATCTGGCAATAATATGAACACGTTAAGCTATAGATATTATTTATTGTCAATATGTTTTTCATAGCAAATTATGATAAGTTAACTTCACTTGATATAATTGTAGCAGAACAGATAACTAGTCTGGATTTGTGGTTAAAATTTTTTTCCTTGAGATGCTTTAAAAAAGAAAAGCAGAAAATAACCATTGAAATAATTATAACCTAAGTGGTGAATATTTGATTTTCAGAACAACTTTTATGCAATGCATTATGCTTGAAAGCTAGAAGGAATATAGAAATAATAAGCCAATCAAAGAGATAATTGAAGAACAAAAGCAAACTGCAGAAGGTTACTAATTGTGGGTCCTTAATCTATTCATAGAAGCAACCTTCAAAGGAAAAACAAAAAAAAAAATGCTTCTGTAGCCTGTCATGGAAAATTCATAATACTTGTATGATAGGCAGTGAGATGATTGTTATTCACCAATGAAACTCATTTTCCAGTGTCAAATCAGTAACTTCGAAAACAAGCTTCAACGCTTTTTAAGATTATACTGAATTCAAGTAACAGGCCATATCCCATTCATCTACGAGCTATACGATGTTTTTTTCTAATTTTTAATTAACCCTTTCGGGTGCCACGGATATTCTCTTTTGCATTCCTACTGTCAATAAGTAAGGCCCTCTTAGCTTACACCAAAGCTTTATTTAATTATCATCTTCCCCTATCTCCTTGCACCAAGACCGACTCCTACCTCCATTCTAAAGTAAAAAAAGGTCAGTGCCAATAAAAATTATTCCTAGGTATGTGGTAATTTCATAAGGAGGCATGCTTCCATGGAACCATTTGTTCACATCAGGTCATTATTATGAAATATGCTTTATATTCTTGGCTCAGAACGAGAACCCCTCAAGTCCTTATCATGAAGTCAGCGCACGTATTTCTCCTCACCCTGGACAGTTGAATTTTGAGAAAGATAAGAACACGAGTTAATCAGGTGAAGTAGAAGTGATATGCTCTGTGTTAATTGTATCACACTAAAATTTTCACTGAATTTTCTTTTAAATGATATTTCAACTTCTGCAGCTTCTACAGGTATAATCTTCATCAAATATTTCAACTTTCCCCTGTTCAGGGTATTTTTGTTTGGTTTTTATATCCAGCAATGAATGGTCAGTGGTGAAATTTCTAACACATTTATGCAACTCGTTCAGTCCAAACTAGGCCTAAGCACTACAATATCTGCCAATTGCATTTGAAACCTGAAATTTTAATCAAACAAAGACTTTTTAAACTGAAAGCCACTGAAGATATCATATTAATGACATTAAAGTACAAAGAACTGATACTAAATTCCACTACAAATGCCCATAATCTGATTCACTTCAATGTGTTCTGAGAAGCTTGTCAGGTTTTAAACCATTATGATTAGAAGAGCAGTTGGTGAGGGCTCTGATCCTAATTTATTAGTTTCTATTCAAATTCCTGATTTTTATGAATATCTCACTGCTGAAATAGATCGGAAAAGTAGCAACTGGAAAAGAACGATATCGATAGATGTCGATGACCCTAAGAAGGGTCAAAAGGAGAAAGAAGTCTCTTATTTGAATGCTCAAAACAGTGAAGGCACCAACAAGGACTTTATGGAACCAATCTACAACAAGGATAATGGTGAGGTAGTTAAAGAAATTGACCCAGTACCTATCCAAGGAGAAAGTGTTGTTATTCAACAGGTTCTTACTACACCTAAAATAGAAGAAGAAAGATTGGAGCATTGAAATTGAGAAAACAACCATAACTAAGTTTTAGTCCCAAACTTGTTGAAGTCGACTATAGAATCCTTTGTTTCCAATATCTACTCTGATCAATATCAATGCAAAGCAAAGTTTAGTCAGAAACAAAAAGTTAAATAATTTTTGTAGAAAAGGTTTTTGAAGGAAAACTTAAAATCATTTCATATATTGAGAAAACAAAGGAAGATTATTGTTCTTCAATAAGTATTTGCTTATGGATATTTATAGCAATGAATTACCAAAAGAATAAGCAACAATAAGGAATGTCTGTCATGCAACTTATTCCTAGTGCAACTTTAGCTAACCAAGCAAATTGTTTGATGCAAGTAGCTCATGCAGTTGACATACATCTCATGCAAAATACCTAATTAATGGAAGGCTTAAAAAGTTTTTTGTTTAATCAACTTTCCTTGCCCAGAAAAAGTATACATTATTTCAATGGCTTATGATGTTGTTTGCTCTTTCAAAAGCTCTAAAGCATATAGATTTCTGGGAAGAGCTGAATCGAGTTGATCCAGCCATACATGAGGACTGGGTCAAGGTTTCTTTTCTGATCCAAGGAGAATGATGCAGGAGCATACAACATAATTAAGTAGGAGTTTCAATTTTTTTTTTTTTCCCTTTTTCTTCCCTTCCTTTAACATTCCTATTTAATGAAGTATGTGAATAGCTTTTAATCTTTTGTGTTTCCTAATTAATTATGTTAATTAATTAATGAGAAATAGTAAGAGTCCTTGATTTGCTAAGCTTCTAACTACAATAAATAGGACAATAGCAATCAGCCTATGTATTGTATTTTCTATTTCAATTCAGAATTTTAATTCTAAAGCTTTCTCTAAAACCAATTATTTTATATTGTTTCAACTTTCAACCACAATCATCCTATTCCACCCCTAATTGTTGAGAACTGCCTGGCCTAAGCTCTTCCCCAGCATCAAATATAACGGAACTGATTAAATGATATAGTTTTACCTGTTAATTGTGGGTCTGCCCATTGGTCTTGTTCCAAACACAGAAAAATCTATTGACATTGGCACCTGATCATTCCTGCCTGTGTAATTCCCAGCTGCCTGTCTGCTTTCACCATGTTCGTCAATCTTATCAGCTAGTTGTGCATTTCCATCAAATACCTCACGATCTGGCATCACTCTCCTAGCCTTCCTTGGGGGTGACAACACAGTGGGTCCATCTGGTGGATTAAAATCTGAAGCCCTAGGATTCAGAGATTCCCGCTTTGGGGCAGGTCTAGGGAGCTTAGCTGGCACGGTGGGCAAGGGCGCAGATGAGAAGTACCTAGAAGAAAATACATATGAGAAAAAGACAAACTGTAACGTAGATTTCCCCTTCACAATGTTCTTCATACCTGTGCTCTAATGCCTGTTCTACTGAAATTCTGGATTTTGGATCATAAGTGAACATCTTTGATAGCAGATCCAAAGCATCATCACTAGCCATTGGAAACAATTTACGCCAAGGTTGTGCAGGAACAGATTGGTATTCCACATAATCAGGGAGGTATACTAAATCTGGCCACTGAGAAGGTGTTGGAGTCCCAAAAGCTTGAAATATCTTTCCTAATTGGTCAATGTCACTTGTCCCCTGTTACATTTCAAATGAAATGTTATTCCATAAGAAAATGAGTCATAAATATAAAAATAATTAGCCAGATAAAGTGACAAAAAAAAAATGTGCTGTAATCATCAAAAACTTACCAGGCAAAAACATATTTCACAAAAAAAAAAAAAAAAAAAAAAAAAAAAAATAATGTTAGCCAGATAAGTGACAAAAAAAAAATGTCTGTAATCATCAAAAACTTACGCACAGGCAAAAAAACCATATTCACCACAGACAAAAATAAAAAAATAAAAAAAAAAAAAAAAAAAGATATATAAAAAAAAAAAAAAAAAAAAAAAAAAAAAGATATATTTACCAGCTACTTATATGTAATGACAAATTGTAGCACTAGTTAAGACTAAAAAGTAAAAGCTAAGTGAGATTGACAGCATTAGCTCTGAATTCTTCAATTAGAAAAATGTTTTCTTCACCAATGGTTAACCCAAAAATATGCCAGGAACACAACAGGTAGGAGATGCCAGCTATTTCAGTCACAATATTCTCACACATTTTGAGTGATGCCTCAAAAGCAACAAGATTATTGAAGCATTGAAAGATGTCCTTAAGAGTACAAAAGCCTAGATTTAAATCTCTTTCACATTAGAAAACATTAGTAGCCTAGATTTACCTAATACCTTCCTGTATGTTCTTGAAGTATAGGTTCCACCAAATACGGAATGATTCTATTCGTCTTGACCATATGTTGTCTCCATTGAAGATACTACCTAATTGTCAAAACGTTTCAGCAATCTTATCCAATTGGAAAAGGGTTGATACAATGATGCCAAACCATGTTTAACTTTTCTCCGTATCTAAGCCATACTTAGTTAAGTTGTTATCTACCTTTTTTTGCACTCTCTCTATTGTAACTCGAGCCATATAAAATCAAAATAAATCAATAAAAGTTACTACCCTATCAAGGTTCATTTTGCAGAAACTGAGTTGTGTTCTTTGCCTTACCATTTTGATTTTCGGTATAATAATGAATTCTAAATTATAATCATTGAAAATATGTATCACAATCAAATAAACATATACACATTGCAAGAAGTACAACACATAACACGGAGGAGTTGCACCTACAATCCACAGGGATGCTGCAACTCAGTTTGACAATCAGCTACAACTCCAGTCTACAGACACCGACAGCAGGAAATTAAGCACATTAACATACTGCAACTGGCCATCAACAGCACCATCAAGTTGGCCGTCAACATTTGCAAGAAAGATGATGTTGGAAAACCTGACGGTGTTGTTGATGATGCCCAAGTTGAGTACTATCAGTATATTGGTGTACTAGATGTGCAGTCTCTTCGTGGTGTTAATGGACTGGCGTTGCAACTGATTGGCAGACTGGAGTTTCTCATCTTAGTGAACTGCAGGTGCAATCTTTTCATACAATTAACAGCGTCTTTCTTAATAATGTGTAAGCCTATTTGAATGTGATACACATCCTTCAATGCAATGCAGGTTCTGTAAAATGAACCTCAATAAAGTTGCAACTCTTTTGATTCCTTTAGAGTTCATATAGCTCTAGTTACAAGAGATAGTACAAAAATTATAGATTATATTAATGTCTAAACATGCCAGCTTTTTTCCACGTCTAAGTCATACTTCGTTTGCTTTTAACACTCAAACTAACATATCTTCCCCATCTCAAAAATAATAATAATAATAATAATAATGATGATAATAATAATAAACTGGCTAATCCTGCAAGTTCTTAACATAAACCGAAAAACAAGATCTCTCCAAAAAATATCAAATAACTGAAGATCTAAGCAAATTCTCAAACCTTACAGTTATGAGGAACTTCAACTGAAATCCGATTAAAAAACTTCAACCAACTACAACAATCAAGATAAATGTGGATGTAGACACAAACTGAATAGATAATAGAAAAAAAAACCATCCTTCATAGAAATTATTATTCATCAACCACAAGATGACAAAGATATCGGTGCCCAACATTTACTCCCATATAGCATTGTCAGTCTCACCACTGTCCCATAGAACTTACCTTTAACCTTGTTAGATATCTTCCTGTCACAAAGTACACCTGTAGCACTTCTCCATTAGCGATTCATTAGTGATTCCCAAATATCTATCTTGAAACAGCCCATGGCATAATGACCGGCTAAAAATAACATAATGGCTGTTATGTAGAACCCACTATTAAAAAATCTAAGCCACAAGATCCCAAGTCAAACTTAACCTGGAATTTTCCACCCAACAAAACACCTAGAGGTGTCAAAGCTCAATTCTAAAACACACATCTAACCAAGGAAGTCAACCTAGAAACATCATCTATTACGATACATGTCGTCTCACTTCTTGAGAAGCTAATGCTTAAAGTAAGCACTGGCTCAAAAATCTTGACCTATCTAAAACATTAAAAAAATCTCCCCACAATCAAATTAGAAAATAATCATTGATGATCTATAGATGAAGCAAATGACTTCACCAAATTCCAACTCTGATGACCTGAGCCAAAACCTATAAACATCACGTCAATCATTTGGTTGGCCAATGCATAACGGGTAAACAAAGGTTTGCATTCACCATCAACAAAGATATAAACTGCAACCATTGTCGTAAAAAAATCACATAACAACTTGTACTAGTTATGTGTATAGTAGATAGAATCTAGCACTGTGAGTTAAAATTAGTAAATCACCTTGCGATGGAATCTGATATAAAGTTGAGTAAACACAGCAAAATCAATAAAAAGGCAAGTATACAAATGTGTTAATACATTCAAATTTCACATTTTCAAAGTCTAGTTTCACTTAACGTGTTGTTCAATGGATTTCTGAAGCGCCAGAGGGAAGGAAAAGGTAAAAATTCAGTCCACAACCTTACCAAAATATGTTGTTTAAACCTCCATGTTAAAAAGAAAAAACAAAATAAGCCACTGGAAATATAAATCCTGCCTTCAGCATCCATAGAGTAGCATGTACATATTAGTTGGAGAATGCATGCATGCATAATGATATCCAAATTGTCCATCTAATACTATCAATTCGATTCTATTTTACCCAAAACCTTTCAGAGAATTCAAAGTCTAGTTTCACTTAATGTAGAGGACTTCTGAAGCCCAAGGAAAAGGAAAAGGTAAAAGCTCAGTCCACAACGTTACAAAAAAATGTTGTTTAAACCTTAAAATGTTAAAAGGAAAATACAAAATAAGCCACTGGAATTATAAATCCTGCCTTCAGCATCCATACAGTAACGTGTACATAGTAGTTCGAGCATGCATGCGTAATGATGTTAAAATTTTTCCAACTATCAATCTGAATGTATTTCAAACAGTGATCTAATGCTACCATTATAGTTGCATTCTATCAAAACGTTTCAAAGAATATGCAGGCATGCTAAGGAGATGAGTTCCTTTTGGAATGAATGTCAAATCACAATAAAATATGTATAGAGCAATTCAAGAGCATTTGTTCTATTTTCCAATGGTTCAATAAGCCCTCAGAATTTAAAATAAGAAAAAAAAAGGACAAAGAGATATATATATATATATATATAATTTCGGAAGTGACAAAGCCTCAAAGCTTCAGTTCAGAAAATTTCCATTTAAATTGATGGGTTTTTTTTCTGTTTATTCTCTTTGTAATCATTATTCTCATGCACTGAATAATAATATTTGCATTGATTGTTAGGCTTGCAATAGTTCAATTATAAATCTAGCAATGACTAATTGTTTGAGAACTTTTATTTCATGTATTCTAAATAAGCAATTGGAAATCCGTTCTATATCTTATCATATGTATAAAATTTTACATAGAACTAAATCTAGAAGCCTGGTTTCCTGCCATATTAGGAACCGCATTCCAAACCTCTTACTTACCAAAAGATCTCTCTAACCACCACTACTCACAAAAACAGGAGACCCCTCTTATATCTAAATCAAGAGTCAACAACAATATCATTGAAGTAAAGATTTTGTATGGATGTTGTTTCATCTACAAACAAATAGGCTTTAGCCTATTCTAAAATCTAAGAATTCAACTAGGATCAGAGCGATAATACAACACGCATTCTCAAATTTAAAAGAGAAAGATCCAACCAAGCTATTCAGAAACTAATCAAATAGTACAATGATCAGACTCAAGTTTTTAAGAATATTCTCTACTAGGTCTAAGCAAACATTTCTCTGCTCAACAGGAAGCAAAAAGTATGATCTACAAAAACAGAAATAGAAACTGTACAAAGCAAGTTAAGAGACCAAATTCGAAGAAAAAGCACTAGTGAAAACACATGATGAAATTCTAAGAGAAGAACCAAACACAGAATATATACCTGCAGAAATGGTCGGCGCAGGAGAAGTTCAGCAAATATACAGGCTGCAGCCCAGACATCAACTCCAGCACCATATTGCTTGGTGCCAAACAATAGTTCCGGTGCTCTATACCATCGAGCAAAGACCTGTCCATTGGTGATTCAAGTTGCAAGTTTAATTTTCTAAATTATTAATGATTAATAAGTTAAATTAAGGTAAGTTAAGGCAACGAACTTTTTTTAGAAAATAACTACAATAGAATATGCAAAGTCAAGTCCATCTACAGAACAATAAACAATAAAAGGAATATAGTTTCTGCCTTCAAAGCTTAATCAACTAAAGTATGTAACAAAATAGTAAGATGAAGAAGAATGTCAGCGCTCCTGATTGAATAATACAATGAAGAAGAACTTTAGTGTTCCAGATTGAACATTTATTGTTAACATGAAGCTTTCAAAACAGATTATGCATTGTTCCACTATGTCAATAAGCAGCAGCATTTTCTGCTGCTAAGTATGTGAAGGAAAATATTAACTTGAGTCAGAATATGGGTTTTACTTATTAAAATCCTTTTAAATAAAAAAGCTTGCGCTTGCACACTGAAAAGGATAAGCAGAAACAACACAAGAAGAAGCAGACTTGGTGAGTGAACTTGCGATCTGGGCTTCCAAATATACGTGCTAAACCAAAGTCACCAAGTTTAAGCTGTCCATTAGAAGCTATCAACAAGTTGTTTGGTTTCATATCCCTGTAAATCACAATTACAAAATATCAAGATGATATCTAGCAACTATTAATCCCACAAACTAGCTTTTCAGAACAAAGCCAATACCTATGCAAGACCCATTTCCTATGGCAAAAAGCTAGTCCCTTCAATGTCATCTGAAAGTATGATTTTATATCAGCTGGTGAAAGAAATATGTTTCGATCACGAATAACTGCTTCAAGATCAGTCTCCATGAACTCGAACACAAGATGTAAGTTCCCCTTGTGAGGGAATGCATCAACCAACTCAATTATATTTGGGTCTTTAAGCTCTTTAAGCAGTTTAATTTCTCTAAGTGCTGTAAAATTAACTCCTTCCTTTTGCTTCCCGATCCGAATTTTCTTAATTGCCACTGTTTGTCCAGTCTGCACACTCACAAAACTTATCAATCAGATAAAATACATTGTCATACAACTTTTAATGGCTACTGGAGTTCTGAAAATTAGCATATATTAATACTTAGTATCTGAAATCCATATAAAACTTATTTAGTGCAATTAGATGAAACAAAAATATGTACAAATAACATTATACAGAGCGGAAGATGAAAATCCTGAAGAAGGCAATGAAAGATTGCATTTTGCGTCTTCAAAATCCATTTGAAGTCAAACTAGAAGTAAGTTGCAAAAGAGACATTTGAAATACACTGCTCTATTTGATGAATGAATAGAAGCAGCTAAAGATTCAAAAAATTCCACAATGAGCCTCTCGAAATAAACAAAAGTAGAATTACTACGCTTAGTTGATTGCCCAAAAGCACATTAATAACTTATTCCAATCTATTGCAATACTTAATGGCAATTTATTCTCAATACCCAGAAATAAAAATGAAAAAAGACCAGAGATTGAACAAATTGTAGTATCATCAGCCAAATTAAAGAGTAATTAAAACCTCTAGAGCTGACAAATTACGAATTATATGTTACAAATCTCTCCAACCTTAGCTGAAGTAATAACAATAACCATAATAGCAGATGCAAAAGCAAACACAAATACGGGTGCAGTGAAGAGAAACCATAGCGTTACCTTAGTATCAATAGCTTTGTAGACGACACCATAGGTACCTTCCCCAAGCACTTCACGCTTTAGATACCTATCGGCCACCTTCTTTTCTGTATCGTTTTCTGACATTGTCGCTTCTTTTTTCCTTTTCTTCTGTACTGTGATGTATCTTTATATTACAAATACCATTGCAATTGAAAATTCTATAATCAGATTTTAAGAATTTATGTTCTTGAATCCTGAAAATAGGGTTTGGTTCTTTTAGGCTGTGGTTCTATACACTGAAAATAGTTCAAAGAATTATACCAAAAAAAAAAAAGAAAAGAATAGTTCAAAGAATCTGAGAAGCTACTGTGAAAGAAACAGAGGGAGAGAAGATGCTTCAAGCGTGTGGAGAAAAACGGAAAGGAAATAAATCTGCTCGGTTGGAAGGAAGGAAATTTATAGCGAAAGAAAGAGATTAAGGTAGAAAGAATGGAAAGGCAAATGTCAGTTTAGCCCTTTAATTATTTCGGATGTTCAGTTAGAAGTGAAATTAAGTTTCAAATCAATTTTAACCCTTAATTATTTTTCTTGTCCAATTAAACAAAAAATTACTAAGCTTTAATCAATTTAGGATATAAATATTTATGCAAATCAATCCTATTTTAGATTTTCTTTTCATGTTACTGTTGTCTTCCCTTAATAAATAAAGAGTCAATTTAGAAAAGAGGAGTAGTTGTGAAGAAAAGAGGAGTGTTTGAGTGGAAAGAAAATGAGAGTAAGAAGTTGAATAAAAAGAAATAAGAGTAGATCAAAGGCAAAGGGACTAGTCCGGGAGTTTATGTTGTGAAGAATTAAATTCATAACTTAAGCTATAGTGATTAGCCTCACAAATACTCTTTGCTACTGAGCTACCTCATTCAGATTAAGTTGAAATCTTTTTACCATATTATATCAAAATTAAACATATAATTTAAATTTAATATAAGTTCAATGTATCAAACTGAACAATCTCTTAAGAGGAGGCCCAATAACCATGGATCGAACTTATCTAATGTTTTACTCATGAATTTACTCATGTATTTTATCAGAAAAAAAAAATTTATGACCTTCTCAATTTTTACTTTAACTAATTGAATGCTTCAATTTATAAAATTTCACTTATTGAACGCTCAATTTGCAAAATTATTTTATTGAATAATTCTATAAAAATAGATCTATTAAACACTTATTGGATTGTAAAAAAATGTGAAAATTATTATTTTAAAAGTTATATTAACTACGTACTAAATTAATATTTTATATATATAAGTCAAAAACACCTAAAAATTTTTGTTGTTAGTATGGAGAGATATAAAATGTTATTAAAGTTTGCAACTTATAAATCTTCTGTAAAGTGCAGAGTACTATAAGATTTTTTTTAATAAAGAACACGGATGGATTTATGCATTTAAATGATTATTTAAACTAAATTTGGAGCATACCACTAATCATTTTTTTTTAACATATGGTTGGCCATCCTATTTTCAGAATTTTGACATCATGAATTTTCAAATGTTGATTTAGCCAAAACTTGAAAGTTTGAATAAAATTAGCCTATGTTTCCAGAATTAGTTGCATGAGTAGATTTGAGTGCGAGGAAGATTTTAGGTAACACTTGTTATTTAAATACTTGCCAATTATCTATATACCTTACAAATATTCATTGTTCTACTCTTGTTACGTCACGACCCAAATCCAGGAGCATGTAGCTAGACCAAAATCTTTCCATATAAGCTTTCGTTAATCAAATAACTCTACTTGAAAAAACTATATGTACAAAAATATAAATCTGAAAATTCATTTTTTCCATATACAACATTACATACTCTACATTTAAATACTTCACTAAATTTAGGAGTTTAGACCTAAGCCTAATCCTACAAAAGTGAAAATCATTCAGGAGAATCGTTTCCGAGTCCTGTAATCCAACGATTTAAATGATTCAACTTAGAAGGAATGAAGAAGCCTCACCAAATACTTAGGAGAACTCACAAAATTGAGATGCTGGAGGGTTGAACAACCTAAAGATGCTCAATGGAAATTTTGCATAGCAGAGAACTCCTAACATCTTAATTCACATTACAATGAATAACAATATATGCATTAATATTGACAAGTATCATCGTATTGTATAGTTTTCATTGAAGTACTATTTTATATTATCATCGATCAAGGCTTAATTTCACCTGTCATTCCTCAATTATAGCCTATATTCCATTAGAGTATCTAGACAGTTAGGTAGAAATAACTAGTCATATCAATTAAATCACATTTATTTGCTTACCAAAAATAATCAACTTATATGGAGATGTTATGGCATAATAATACAATTGTCAATCAATAATTTTGTCTCCACAGCTTATGTAGACTCAATTTGAAGGACCATCAGTGTCTAATGTGCACATCTAGACCTGCTATCTACAATCTCAATCTGTGACATGATTTCAACATAAGAGGGAGCAATCTACAACCTCAACATGGAGGGAGAATTTCATTTCCATATCAATCACAATATCAACTTCAACAAATAAAGTGATATCGACAGGGCAATAACTATATCATAATATCAACTTTAACAAATGAAGTAATATCAGGTAATAACCATGTTATGCATTTAACTGTGAGACTTTTAAAACATCTCTATTACACATCAATCATTAGCCATAATGAGCAGTATTTCATTTTGCTCAAACATTTCTATGTCCATTTAAATGAATACTTTGAAATTCATTTCCAACTATTATAAATTTTGCAGTATTTCATTTTGCTCAAACATTTCTATGTCCATTTAAATGAATACTTTGAAATTCATTTCCAACTATTATAAAAAAATTTAACATTAGCTCTTTATTATTTTGTAATAATCACATTCGAATTCAATTTCTTTGATATAAACATTTGATATAATAAATCGACTTTTTCTCTTGTAAAAGCTTATAAAATAGTAAGCTTAGCATATTGCTTTTTTACCTTATAAATTTTCATAAAACATTTCTTTAAAACTATTTTATTTATCACTTTAACAACATAAATTATAGATATAGTGCACTAACCTGAATTGGAAGGCTCTCTTAGCCTTACTCTCTACTACTGACTTATCTTCCAATCATTTTCTTTCAAATATTGTACTATGAAATTAATATTCATATTAACTCCATGCTACTCAATAAACACACACATATTATCATAGAAATGTAAATTAAGTATTGAAATATAGTATTCATGTTTTCCTTCAATTTCACTATGCTTAACCAACTACCATATGACTTTAATTTAGGCATGAATTACTTTATTTCCACACTTAATCACATACTAGAAATATTAAAATAATAACTAAAATAATGGGACTTAATAACATATTAAAGTATGTTAAACTCTTTACAAACTAGTGGAATACAATGTTTCCATCATATGAGTAGTATGAAGTTACTTGTATTTCCCACACTTAGATCAACATACTAGAAATTATAAGAAGTAATAACGCACTAAAATTCAATGGGACTGATCCATAATCACAATAATTAAATCAGTATGAAACCACAAAACTGCACGTCCAACTACGAAATATGTTCCTATCCATCATATTGAGTAGTCTGCCTTCCTTGGCTATAATTTCTCTATTTACATATTAAATTCATTTTGCTCCTAAAATTTTAAACAACCATATTCTCACATATCTCAGTCTACTCCCATTACTAAGAAATTTCATGAATTTTAAAGCTCATTTATAGCTAAAATAACCTAAACTCTCGCATCATCTTTAAACACATCTACGAAACTACCGAAGTACCTAATATTTTCAATCCATTTTGCGTCCAATTCCTTGAGCAGTCTTCGCATATCATTTAACAGGTTAAAAAACTCCAAATAATGGGACTTAATAACATATTAAAGTATGTTAAACTCTTTACAAACTAGTGGAATACAATGTTTCCATCATATGAGTAGTCTGCCTTCCTTTGGCTATATCTCTAGTTTCTTAAATTCATTTGTCCTAAAATTTTAACAGCATATTCTCCATATCTCAGGCTACTCCCATACAAAATTTCATGAATTTTAAAGCTCATTTGCATAGCTAAATAACCTAAACACAGTACCTAATTTTCAATCATTTGGTCCACTGAGCAGTCTGCATTCATTTAACTAAAACTCCATTTCTCTTCACCCATTGCACTAGCCTTTTTACCACAGCCTTCCTAACATCCTAAAATAGTTGTTTGTATTTCATAATTTTTGTAGCTCATTTACCTATTTAATCAAGTCCATTTTAGTGATTAAATTTCAGGATACTCAATTGTAAGCAATACTTTACATCCTTAAGCCTTCTTAACTTACCTCCATCACTAATTCTTGCATAACAACTCTTGTAACACTCAAATAATAAAATTAACTTTCATATATCAGAATATCTAATCCATAGATTATAAATAAAAAGACTAAAATTATCCAAGTTGATCAATTATGCAAACTTGATATCAAATTCATGCTTAACCATGCTCAACCACTTTAAATCACCTAAAAGTACTTTTAATCACTTCATTCTCACCATGTCAGCAATAATAAGCAAGCACCTTATACTAAAGTTTATGAAAATCAAAAATTAAATGATGGAAAAGAAAGAGGAAGAGAAGATAACCAAGCTTTCCTTAAGGATCACTTGAAAATTTCTAAATTTTCATGCACTTTTAGCTTGCTTTAAGAGTTTTCTCTCTCCCTTTTCATGGAGCTTTGACCATTGTTAGCAAAAAATGACCAAGAGGTGCCATATGACTCATCATAAATAGGTGGCAATCAAAGCCTTTCATGGTAATTCCTCTCGTGTCCTTTGGTTGCCCTTTTACAACTTAATCCTTCCTTTGTTTCTCTTCTCATACAATTGTACCTAAATATTTTTTATTACTTTAGTTTAGTCCCAATTAGGTCTAAACCAAGTATATTTAATAATCCCAGTCATGTTTAAGCAACATCATACCAAAATTATCGATTTTCCGAACTTTCGGATAAAATTGTGTTACCGAGAAATCATTCTTCTTTAACTCATTTTCAATTCCCTTTAATCTTTCAAATTGATTCATAAATACTTTAATTTCTATTTAATTAATAATAATATACTCTAACTATAATGTTTCTCGTTGTTCCCAATTTTTAGATTACTCAGATAACCGAAATTATTGAATATAAAATACCGAGAACTACCAAATTGATGATATAAATACACAATTAAACCTTAATTAAATGTCTTAGGTGATTTAATATTAATCCATTAAATGCTGAATCAAGATGCTAGGTTAAGGAGTTTCTCATGCTAGCTTCTCATCATCAAGGCTTAAATTTAGTTAACATTCTTCTAATTTAATTTTCATAACAAAATTGATTTCCATTAAATATCGTATGTTATAATTAACCTCGTTAA